TCAGACATCAATAAGATAAAAAATTGGCACAAATAGAGGCATATGAGGTACTTCTTTAAGGTAGCTCCACAACATGTATATCTCTATATTACAAACAGCCAGGGCAACCAGTTAAGAAAAAGAGAATCAGTGGACCTTCAGAAACTAAACAGAACAGATTATGTCTGCAGTTGAAAATGTGATTTAGATTGAGCCTACCTCTATCTTGGTCCGATAGAGCACCAGCCGGCGGAGGCGGGTTAGTTTAGAGATGTGAGAGAAGGCCTGTGAGTGTAGGCGGTCACAGGAGGACAGGTTGAGCTCTTGCAGCTCTGGACAAGTCTGAGAGATGACCTCCAGACAGGCCTCATTCAGAAAATGGCAGCAAGACAGCTCTAGACAGACCAAGCTCGCGCCACACGCCTTCATGAAACTGAGGAGGGAGATGTGGGGATAGAAAAAGAAACAAGATTAATCTCATAGCACATACCTAGTCCTTCGCCTCCTTATTTCTAATAATATTGCTAATCTTTTTTCAGGATCTCTTCTTTTATTTTTGGGGATGACAGAAAAAAATGTTTCCTTACTATGTCCCTCAGTCAAAACTATGAATATGTTTATTCCTTTATGCATATTTGCTAGTTTTACAAGGTCATTTCAATTTTCTAGCATTTATGGGCCACTGACAGTCTGACCTGCTGAAGCCAGTGAGGGTAAGAGTGTTGCGGTTGCCAGTCCAGGACAGGTTGAGCCTCTGGAGGAGGGTGCAGCGGCTCTGCAGGTGTCCCAGGGAAGCGTCACTCAGCCTGGCCCAGTAGGGCTGAAGACTCAGTTGGGTGTACTGCAGCGGGTCACAGCAGTGCTGGTGCAGCAGCTTACAGCTCTGGGCCAGACGGCAGAGGTCTGGCAGGGTCAGGTGGCTCAGTATCAGCTGAATGAGCTGTGGATGGAAGACAAGGAGCAGGATTAGAAGAGGAGAGGAGAAAGGAAAGGGTAAGATTTGAGAGGGGGGCAACAGAAAGACAAAAGGTGTGACTGGAAAAGGAGTTGTGCAAATCCAGCATATAACACAAAACTCTAGAGAAGTAGGACCTTGTAGAGAACAGAAAACAACATAGAGTAAAGAATGTTAATTGTGTCCCTCCTAGAAGCAGATCCAAATAGTGGTTATCTGGGACACAAAGCAATGATTGCAGGATCAGTGGCGAGGTGAGCCAGCTTGTTTTACACTTGTTCATGTGCCTCTCAAAGTGCATGCGTGTGTGTGTGTGTGTGTGTGTGTTGTATTTTATTAACAATACAGCGTTCAAGCGGGTATCAGCCGACAGATAATAGCTATATTGTGTTTCTGAGACAAACCCAGACGATTGTGAAGACTGCTGTTAATGGCAGCGGTTTGGAGAAGAGATGAGAGAATGAAAATCAAGAACACTGCTGGTGTTTTGAAGCTCGCCTCAGACGACATGATGCGTCAGTACGGCATGAAAATGACTCTGTGTCCGAGAGTGTACGCAAGATCAAGTGTCACTACAGGCCCAGGCCACAATGTGCATGTGTTTTTGTGGAATACTGTTTAATGGAGTGTGTACATACACAGGGTACACATATTGATTTTTGAAGTACATACTGCAAATTCTTATTGCATTGTTATATCATATCAATTTAATATTACAATCTATTGATTGAAATTAAGGACTTGTGGAATCTAAGTTGTAAAATTCAGTTTGTGCTTTTTATTTTCCTTAATACAATTTAGCAAATGATTCATGTTTGTATGTATGTTTTTGTTTCAATCTGTTTTGGCTTTAGTATGTGTGTGTATTTATATTTGAAACTTTTTTGAATTCATTGCTACCCATCTTGACCAGTACTCCCTGGCAGAAGCAATTTAATCTTCCTGGTTAAACAAAGGATAAATTCAAAAATGAAATATTATCAAGTTTCATTGAATCAGATTTGGTGTTCAATACAGGGATTCCCCTATTCATCCTTTTTTGTTCATGTAGAGTATATGGCAGTCAGAAAAGCCATATGCATGAGTTTCAGTTATGGTTTAGATGTCTTCATTGGATCATCACATTTCAGTCAGAGAAAGTCACACTGGCTTAGAAGCTTAGTTATTAAATGCCACCAAATCGCAGAGTGTCTCTCCAACCGGACCCTGGGACCAGCGTGGGAGGTGTACCGAACTGCCTCGTCCTGCACACAGTATATCCCCTTGCATGTGCATACAGATATTTTAAAACGAGTGCCAACTGCTAGAAATGTTCAAAATGTAAGGCTGTGAAGGTGTTAGTCAACAGATGGCTCTTCAGCAACTGTTATAATAATCATCATTAAGTTACACACTCAGGTTCAAAGTTTCAAATGTCCGGATTTGCTGCTTTTCTATTTTAAAATTGTAAATGTGTTTTGGCTTTTGACCATTTGTAAGACAGTGCATATCTCCGCCATGGCCCACCAGTAACCTTAAATCCTAGCCAAACTAAATTGCACATACTCATTGATATATCAACAGCAGACTGATATCAGTCCTCTATCAATTTCCAAGGTTTCCAAGAGAATGATGCATGGATCTTGATGAAAGATTAGGATTTGCATTATTTTGAGCTATTAAAACAATGCAGATTTATTCAATTTTAGGGGACTGTTGGGCCTTGAAAGAGGTGTAAGCTCTACAGAGTGACAGTATAGTTTTGCTGTGTAATTACCTCATAGGGCAGCTTGTCAAAGTAGCCATTTCCTGTCCTCTGGTGCTTGCCGTCACCTCCCTGTCTGAAAGGAAGACCCACGTCAGACAGCTCCTCCTCGCTGTCACTCAGGTCACTGATGTCGATGATGGGCATCTTATACAGGGCCAGCATGGGCCTCTCTTTTACACCACGGAGAATAACAGCATCCAGCTCGGTGTAGTACTCCAGCAGAGAACTGTTGACCTCCAGACGCAGCAGGTTGGTGGGGAAGTTGATATGTTTGATGTTGGGGGAAAACTGGCGTGCCTGAGGTGTCAGCACCTTGGTGGGCTCCCCTGACCAGAGCACCTCCCACCTGGACAAGAGAAAGTTTACATAGCAGTTGCCCATAAGGCTACACCAACCTTTGAGATTTCCAACAGGGGCCATAATCGTAGAAGGAGAGAAGTGTGAGCAACCACTGAAAATAGGCCCATAACTCAATTGAATGTTGCTGATTTGTGAACCTCAACATCAAGTTGTCTCTAGATTATAGCAAGCAGAAGATACAATTCTTAGATCTAACTTTTTTCAAAGACAATCAAGGGACCTTGCATACATCAATATTTCAGAAACCTACTGACAGAAATACCATACTACATTCCAACAGTTTCCATCCAAAGTGGCTTATAGAAAATCTGCCTTTTGACCAGTTTCAACGAATATGCAAAATCTGTGACAAGGAAAATGAGTTTGAAGCCAAATGAAAAGAAATGGTGTCATGTGGTGTCATCCACGAAGAGGAATATACTAACTCTATGCTGTGGAAAGCATGCACTACGGCCAAACATCTAGACAGACAAACTTTACAGACTAGCCGAACAAAAATATGGCATCCGCACAGGTAATGTCAACTCTCCCATGGCTAGACATTATCTGGCCTTCCATAACCGTTAACCATCCACACTACAAAACTTTGGTATTGACCACATCCCTGTTTTCATCCCAGGTGAGAGACAGAGTAAACTAAACCAATGGGAAGATTGTTTGATCCTTAAATCACAGGCTAGAAAATACCCAGGCTTAAATGCGGATTCAGGTTTGAGTGTTTTTGTAAATAACATTTGTTAACTTGTATTTTGTAATTTGTCTGTTCACATGTATTATATTGTTTTTTGATTAATTATTTGTCATTGTTTATAAGTATTATGTTGTTCCTTGATTAATATGTTGAGCTAAACATCACCATCTGCTGGAGTTTTGATGTGCCCACACACTTTAGACTACAACCCCATTTCTGTTTGGCAGTTTTCCTATTGGCTTAATAGCACTACAAAACGGAACCATTGAATCCAAAGAATCATTATTATAATTAAATTGCAAATATCTAATTATATGCCCAGTAATGTATTTAAATATAAATACATTTATTTTATTAAGAAATATTAGGCTGAAATACAATATATTAATCATGGATTACTCTCATTGTGTTATGAAGATAAAATGAGGCGATGTCACTAATCAAAGATTGAGGTACTTCTTAATCTGGTTAATGACCAGCAGGACTGGGGTTTGCTGATAATCAGGTTCTCATTCGGTAAAAAAATGATCAGGTTGGTTTCAAATGAGTAAAATCTTTCTGTACCTATTCTTGATATTTACTCACAGCAGAATCACTGAAACAGAGGGTTAAGCTCATCGTAAAAAAACTGCCTTACCCATCATTATTATCCCCTTAAACATAATTTATACTTTAGCTATGATGCGGTTGCTTGTCCTACAAAAGACCAAAACCCAATTTCACCCAGAGTCCATTCTAAACGTACCCTCTGTAGTTAATTTGACTGGCCTGTTAGTGGAATCGTTATACCTGTTTAAATAGACATTTTATCAAACCTCTTTGTTTGACTGATGGAAAAAAGAAACCCTTCTTGGATTCTATAGAAACAAGTTCCTCAAGTAGTAATGAACATTCCAGATCATTTGTTGATATCTTCCTAGGTTTTCGCTTAAATTTGTTCTAAGGCTCTAAAAAAATACTTGTAAGGTTTGTGTGTTCTTAAAACCACTGAATTGTTCATCATTAAGTTTGTATAAAGATTCATCCTCTTGTAAACTGATAATGTATGCATGCTGCTCTCTGTATAGGTATACCCCCATAAAATCTAAAGATGGTGAATGAAGACATAAGACCTAAAGTGGAGGCACTGCAGCAGGAAGTAAACAGAAAACGAGCAATCATGTTTAATAGAGTTGGTAGATATAAAATACAAAAATGGGATGCTTTAATATGTGTAGTTAATGCTTTGTCAAGAGAAGCATGCACCACTGATAATTGATCTCAAAGAAAACATTGCTAAACACAAAAGAGACACATTGTCCACTTGAGGAGGAAAGACTCATCCAGAGTGATCTGAGCTGAACCTGCATGTCATCAGGGGCATTCATGTAAATACAGCATCCTTTGGTGTGCCATCCGCTGAGAATTTGATCATAGGAAGATGTGTTCCCTCCTCAAGGCACAATCTGCAGCATCTCAATGCCATTGTGCTGGTGGACCTCGGGTGCAGAAATAAGTCTACTTTGGGCCTATAATTAGTGTGATCAATCGTTGATTATTGCATGCTAATTCAATAATTGAAGTGATGGTGAAGTATGCATTTGTTTATTTTGAAAGGCCACAATGCTTCACAAAATACAGAAAATAACCATTTCAGAAAATGCACTATAGCATAAACATGACAGCCCTCTAACAAGCAAAAGTGTGCTCGTGAGTGGGTGTGTATTCTGTTCTTACCTTAAAACATATCACAAATAAACCTGCATAAGTGAGTTCTGAGAAAAAGATTCCTCTAAAGAATAATTGGTGAATCAGGCTATGAGATATGCTGTATGTAATAAACCCCAATTAATGTCATATGAGATTAATTATATAATGTGTATCAGGCCTCAAGAACTGCTGGTGCTGCATGGTTTTCTTAGACAGATTAATCACATTAATATCTGACATGATTGTTTTCCACAACAGATAACTGTTATTACCTGACATCAGTAGGTGGATTCTGGGAGAAGGGGTTGTGAGAGCAGGCCAGGATCTGGACGATGGCTCCTGGGTAATATGTCTCAAGCACTTCCACGGCTGTAGGATAGACAGGCTCCTCAAAGCCAAGCTCAATATAATCCTGGCTGTAGAAGCCTTTAGGGGTGCGGCGGAAAGGTGGTGGAGCACTGGCACACTGTTCCCACCATGTCCCATATGCTCGGAATACAGCTGTCTGTGTGAAGTCCCCTGAGCTCGGGTACACGTTGGGTACCCCTGCCAAGTTCCACATGGTGTAGGACATGCTATTCTCACTGCCATAGTGAGAGCTGAAGTCAAGAACCTCCTTAGCATACTGCTCCACCTCCACACTGACCGGCAAGACCGCTCGCTGGCCCGATTCCACAGCCCGTCGACTGGTCAGCGCCTCACCTCGAGTCCCACTCCTGGAGCGTCGCCGTAAACAGATATAGTAAAACATGCTCAGGAGGGTTAACATAGGTAACTCTGGGGCTGATGGAGGATGAGAGGAGAAACCGGGACTAGGGGGAGGAAGAGCCTCTGCCTGGTAGAGGCACACTGGTCTCAAGGGCTGGGGATGTGCAAAGTGATGTTGAGAGGCCTGGCCACATACTACATGACCTGTGGGTGAGGCAGAGAAAAAACATGTACAAGAATGAGAACAATAAGACAGCAAGCCTAAGTATATAAACGTATGCTTATCCATTTTACAAAAAATAAAAATAAATAAAAGAAATTGTCAAGTAGAACGATTATATAAATATGCAGCTATTCCAGAAATGGAAAACTTCCACACTTTTAGTTTTAAAATGGAACACCCCAGATAATAAAAGCACTTTTTTACTCTTTCCCCCCAGGCCTGTGACAGGGATCCTGCAGACAGGTATTCACACCATACCTGATGTCAGGCTCTGTAAGTGGCAGGACTGGCCTTCAGGATTGCCAGCTGCCTAACATTTTAGTAGCACTTTATTTAGTAACAACATGTGACTCAAACATTAAGAATGAAGAGCCGCACACATTACATTTATTGTTTTTACATTGGCTCCCAGTTTGTTTTAAGATTGGTTTTAAATGTTACAGACTACTTTTAGGGATCTTCATGGTCTGGCTACAAGTTATACCTCAGTTCTTTTAAATCCTCCATTACCTCTGAGCTTGCTATCTTTGTGAAAGGGTCTGCTATCACTTCGAGAATTTTGGCTGGAAATTAGGGGGGAGCATTTGCATCAGGGCTGTGGAATGACTTCCCTGATAAAATAAGGCTGTCTGAGATGGTGGCTTCTGTTATATTTCAGCTAAAAACTTACTATTTTCAGAAGACATCTTCCTGAATTTACCTGGGGTGCAAGGTTACTTTAGTCTACAATATCTATTATTGTTGTTGTCATAACTCTTCATGTAATTCCTTCTGTATTCCAACCATTTGTTCTCTGTTGTGCAGCACTTCATGTGTTGAAACGTGATCTATAAATAAATGTAGCATTATTATGATAAATGAGGAGTCGAACCTGACGTATTCTGAACATGACTAACACCACCGCTACTAATCAGTCATGGATGACAGTGAAACCCAAGTTGACATTTAAAACGTTGGCTTTAGCCCCAGTTTTTTAAAGAAGTGACGTGTAGCCCAAGCTCTGAGGTTGTCTGTACAGGAAACGAAGTCATCGGGGCCAGCCGGTTGTTAGTTAGCTTCGCTTTATCAATGCTGCAGAGGAATGGCTTCGCTCAGCTAACATGTCTTCTCTTGTATTGTTGCTGATCTACCAGCAAACTTTCTGAAGACCACGGTTCAATAACAACACCAACACGACCTAACAAGTGGAGTAACATTAGCTAGAGAGCAGGGGCTGGGCTACCTTCCCCCAGCGTATGTTGCTGGTGTTTAAGCTAAATGGCTAGTGTTAGCCAGCATTAGCTAGCTCGCCCACAGACAGCTGAGCTGTCATAACATGGCTGTTAGTCTCCGTAGATCGTGTAGCAATAATTAGCAGTCAAAGAGGACAGGACATACGTCAGATTTACGGTCAATGAGGATCGATACACCCATCCGCAGAGAGCAAAAGCGTTTCTTCCCGTTTCAGGATATCATGTTTTTCACCAAATCTCCCTGCTGTCCTGCCTTTTACCTTGTGATGCCTTCATGGACAGTCAGACAGCTCTAAACCCACTGCGCGCACATTATCAACCCTATCGATCGTGAAAACAATATCAGAAATATTGAAGGTTTCAATGATTTCAGGTTTTAGGTGGGCATTATTTTACGAACAACGTCCATGGCAGTGAAAGGTGTGGTCAGGAAAAGGCGATACATTAATTATAATTCCGTATTAAACTTCATTTCCCCGCTGCTGTACAAAACCGTTGGATATATTTTGGTTAGTCAAACGACTAATGAAAAAAACAGTGTCATGTCGTCTCTGTTCATTTTTTGTTCAAAATTGATATCTCAATAGGTGTGTTTCGGGAAGTCACATTTTTGCAAAGCGTTACGTAGGAACTTTAAAAGCACCATCAGTTCCGTACAACGAATGATCAACATCCGGTGTGCGACTGTCCAGAGGGGTCCAGAAACAGTCCCAGGGATCCTCTCGTGTTTGTCCCTTGGAATCTTTTGGCGTTGGCTAATTTATTTACACTTCTGGAGATATAGACACGTATGAAGCTATTTTCACTCATGATAACCGTGTATCCTTAGAAGTAAAAGGGACTCCCACAGTGCTTGATCTAAACCTGCCTGTTTGGAATGGACTGTTATCTTGGTCTGTTAATTCTCTGGAGTCGACCTCAGAATTATTTAATGTCATTAGTCTCCTGCAAACAGTTTCTACAATGTACTGTCACTTTTTATTGTTTGTGTTTATTCTACCTGGTTTATCTGCAATGAAGGTTTTATAGTCAATGTATTTTTTGAAATGAAACTGAATTTGCATTATTATTGTCCATGTGTGTGGTTTATATATAAGTTTGAATGATTTACTTATACGCTTTTGTTTTTTTGATTACATGTCGGCTGTTTTAGAGGTCTGTACAGCAACTGACACAATCTTCAGACCCAAGTTTACATCTTTTCATATTAAAAGCTCAGCTCGATATATAGCACTACAAGACAAACGTGTTTTGCGTTTGCTTGTGTTTTTACTTTCAAGATAATTTTTCAAACAGGAAGTGATACTGTGAATGTTCACATGATAGAGGGCAACAACTGTGCAGTGTCTATAGCATAGACTGTATATAAAAAGGTCTGTTTGGTGAAAGAAAAAGATGCTTTGCTAAACGTTTTTCTGACCTGCAGTTTGACCCAGTTCCTGTTTATCAGAGAACGGAGAGGAAGACTTGTTTAACTTTGTCCACAGACTGACTGTTAAAACACAATGTTAAAAATTTCCATCACCTAGAAAATGTAAATAAATCTGATGTATGTCCCGTCTTCTTTGACTGCTGAAGTATTGCTCAATGACCTACGGAGACTAACAGTCATGTTATGACAGTGGGCTAGCTAGCCATTGCTGGCTACCACTAGCTATTTAGCTTAAACACCAGCAACATACGCTGGGGAAAGTAGCAGCCCCACCTCTCTAGCTAATGTTACTCCACTTGTTAAGTCGTGTTGGTATTGTTATTGAACCATGGTCTTCAGAAAGTTTGCTGCTAGACAGTATCTAAGTGGTACCCAGCCAGATTTAGAGTTAACAAGATGATATGAATAGGTGGCTAGTGGGCATACTCTGTGATTGACAGGCTGGGCCGCTGTCAGCTCCTCCAGGCAGGCATCAGCGAGCAGCAGTCCTGCTACTGTCAGAGCTCTGTTCTGGTCTGCTGTGCCACACATACATATGCACATGGCCGAGCACACACAAATGCAAATGGTGATGGACACACACATAAGCACATGCACAGATACATGTGTATGCATGCATGCGTGCGTACACACACACACACACACACCATTTTAGTTTTTTCTCTCTGTCACTCTCAAACACATACATGCACTCACACACTTTGTCCCATGCTATACCCAAGCTGTCAAAAGCCAGTCAAATAACAAGCATGCTGCTCTTCTTTTCTTCTTTTATGCATAGACAGAGAAGTTGGTAATTGCTTGTGTGGAACAGTATGTGTTTGACTTTCTCCCAGTTGCAGCATGGTCAGCCTGCATGTCATGAAGCTGTGAGAATATCTATTCATGCCTGCCCATATCTGATTCGATTGATACAGTGATAGCCAGCCTTTCACTGTATAGCTAACCTCCTATTTTAATGCACTTCCACTTACAGCAGGGCATCGAATGGTATTGTCCTACTTTATGCACTTTGGGTCTGAGCCAACACTGAAGACTTATAGAACCTTGTGATTTATAAATGGATTTTCATAGTACAGCATAATTTAATTAAGACAGGTCTATGGTCACTGCCATTACAAACATGACATCCAGGTGGCAGGACATTTATTATTCACATACATTTAAATATATCTGACTGTCAGACATGTTTTATGCATTTGGGCATGTCAGTAATGCAAAACCAGAATGGGCAGTTAAATGTGAAGTGGCAGAATCTGAAAGGGTCCCGCATATGATTGACAACAGGATCAGGAAAGGATTTACTTATGTGTGTTAATCAGTCAGTGGAGATGACTGTGTTGAGTGATAATAAACAAATGCAACACTGAAGAAGTAAAAGATGGAAATAAAGATGCATGTAGCAGTTTGTTGTTAAATTTTTACATTTTTAATGTAGATAATACACTGCACTGTAATATTGATTGCAGAGTCTACATCCATGCTGCATTGTGAAGCTGTACTTGGATACAGTAGTGTTTTGTGATAAATCCTACCATCAGCACACTGACACATGCACACTGATAATGTTTTTATATTACAGTGTTGTTAGTGTGTCTTTTTTATAGGTATTGTTGAAAAGATGGGATTATATGCAACTGTTTCATTTGTTTTGTCATTTGCCTGTTACCACATATATTGGGGTGGTCTCAGGACCTCCCTGGTCTCCGGACCTTCTATAATTATCATATGGTAGACGATTATGTCTTTGCTCATATGAACAGAAAAACAAAGCTACAGTATAAAGACCAAAAACTAAAGGAGGGAAATCTCCAAAACAGCACTGACATGACATTGTCTGAACAAAGAAGGATGAAATGCATTTATTTGCAATCAACTTCTAAAGATGGAGCTTTCTTATTCATTTATGATGAAGTATGAAACGTTTTACTTTAAGATAACAGAGTGCATAATCATGTGTTTGTGTGTAAATCCTGGAATTAATGAAGGTTCCCATCCTTATGTGAAGACAAGTGGAGTTAGGCTCATAACAAGTGTGTGTGTTATGATGATAGAGAAAAAAAGGGCAAAGAAGAAGGATATGTTTATTGTTTATATAGATGATTTATAAACTCACTCATTTTGAACCCATCTGTTTATCACAGTTTATCATTTTATCAATATTATTGTGTTGTGTTTTGAATATTCCTACAATCTCTTTTATCACTTTATCATAATCACTTTGTTGTCTTTTATTCCTTTTTATTGTTTACTAATTGTTATTATTAACTTATTTTTCATATTGAAAGAAGGGTGTCCAAAAGTAAAAGTTGCTACTGAACAGGTCCCTCACAGTTATACTTAAGGCCCATAAAAAAAAAACCCTGACATCTCTCTGTTAGTGCAGCACAGGGAAGGGAGGGGGCATCTAGAGTTCAAAAAGACGCATGTACAAAGGTCGTATGCTCCATAACTGAGAGCTGGTTCTAACCGGTTCTTTAACTGGAATTCCCCTAAAACCACAGAGCTTCTCTGAAGAGGGGTTTCCAGTTTTAGCGCAGCACAGTATAGAAACAGCTGCTTCAACTGGCTTGAGAGTCTCAGCCACAGACTCCAACATATGCGTAATTCGATGTCCATTACCTCGGCTTTCGAGCTAGAGAGGCTAAAGTCTCAGCTCCGGCACTAGAGGCGAGGACTTAGAACACAACACGCTATCGCTGATTTGCTCGTTGGTTGCTGCCCCCACACAGGTGAACTGGCCATGGAAGCTGACCACTTAACAGCGATCTTGCTGCTGCTCTTGCTGCTGCGGTTACACCCTTTAGAGCACCATTGGCCCAGCTGGATGAGCCTGTGCAACTCTGGACAAGGAAACCTTCCAATCTCGAACATTAGTAAATAGGGTACTTATACCATAGGAGGCTAGAAGCTACTCACCTTTTAAGGTGTCAAATCAAATGATTTAAAGCAAATGGTCAGGTAACACCCTTCGATTAATAACACCCGTACATTAATTATGTAAGCCCAACCCATGTTTTAGTGTTTAATTTTTAATCTTTCTTTTCATTTATATGTTCATATAGGAAAACCCTGTACTCATAATAATAGGTTTCCTTTTAATAAAAACTGTCCTTCGTTAGAACCATCTCTTCTGTGGCAATGGACCAAGCACACACACATATTTTTCTTCACAATAAGGACACCGCTGTGCCCCGGAAGCGGTGCTCCAGCAAATCCACACCATGGCAACATCACTCATGACCTTAGGGCACACACACCACACCTCATCTCAGGGTAGGGAAGTGATTAGTAATTCAATTAAAAACTATAAACAAAATTACCACATCAATAGCTAGTTGAAGGATATGCAAAATTCACACTTCAGTCAGGAACACTTTGTCATGATTTACCCATTTGTTGCAAATGGGGATACAGTTATGATTGGCACTGAAGGCTCCATTCTTTGGACATTCCCTGGATTAGCAGCGTGCTAAGATAAAACAGGAGTGAGAGATGAGTGTGTGAGGTGTTGGTGCCAGGTTAAAGAAAGTAGTTCGATACATGCAAAGAAAGTGAACAGCATGGCAGAACTAGCATTAGCTTTCAAATAACATATTACCAAATATCACAACACAACATAAGTCAAACTTATAACATCACATGAAATAGAATTAAAATTTGCTTAGCCTAGCGTATCAATTAAGCCCAATTGTGTTACCTGTCCATGGAAAAGGGGGAAAGGTACTTTTTGGATGTGCTGTTTGAAGTCCAGTGAAGTGGTCTTGTTTATTTTCCTCGCTGCCTTATGAAGGTTCTAGCAGTCTGCTCCAGGCAGGCGTGCCTGAAGTTGGAGAGCT